ATGAACTTCAGGTTTGACCTGATTGGAATTCTCTAAGCCTCTTTATTTTTATTTATTTTATTTTTTTGAGACAGAATCTCACTCTGTCACCCAGGCTGGAGTGCAGTGGCAGGATATCGGCTCACTGCAACCTCAATCTCCCAGGTTTAAGCGATTCTCCTGCCTCAGCCTCCCAAGTAGCTGGGGCTACAGGCGTGCACCACCATGCCCAGCTAATTTTTGTATTTTTAGTAGAGACAGGTTTCACCATGTTGGCCAGGATGGTCTCAATCTCTTGACCTCGTGATCTGCCCCCCTCGGCCTCCCGAAGTTCTGGGATTACCAGTATAAGCCACCGTACCTGGCCAGAATCTATTGTTTTATACATTTTGCCAAATAGAAAAGTTTTCTTTGATTATTTGTTCATTTGTTTGTTTATTTATTTGAGACAGGGTCTTGCTCTGTTACCCAGGCTGGAATAGAGTGGCACAGTCATGGCCCACTGTAACCTAGACCTTCTGGGCTCAAGCGTTACTCCCTCAGCCCCCAGAGTAGCTGGGACCACAGGCGTGCATCACCACACTCAGTTAATTTTTGTATTTTTTTGTAGAGATGGCATCTCACTACGTTGTCCAGGCTGGTCTCAAACTCCTGGGCTCGAGAAATCCTCCTCCTTCTGCCTCCCAAAATGCTGGGATTACAGGCATGAGCTATCACACCCCACTCTGATCTTTTATTAATAGTGTCACAGGTCCCTGAGGCTGTATTTACTGTTTTGTCCATCTGTTCATCTTTCCTTCCCTCCTTCCCTTCCTTCCTCCCTCCCTCCCTCCCTCCTTTCCCTTTCTTTCTGCTTAAAAAAAAAAAAAAAAAAAAAGGACTCCATCTCAAGAAAAAAATAAAGAAGTGAAGTGAGTGAAGTGATTGAGGGCAGACATTTTTTGCCTTAAGACATTTCTGGCTGGGTATGGTGGCTCACGCCTGTAATGCCAACACTTTGGGAGGCCAAGGTGGGCAGATCACCTAGGTCAGGACTTTGAGACCAGCCTAGCCAACATGGTGAAACCCAGTCTCTACTAAAAATACAAAAATTAGCCAGGTATGGTGGCGGGCACCTGTGATCTTAGCTACTTAGGACGTAGATAGGAGAATGTCTTGAACCTGGGAGGCGGAGGTTGCAGTGAGCTGAGATTGCACCATTGTACTCCAGCCTGAATGACAAGAGTGAAACTCTGTCTCAAAAATAATAGTAATAATAAATAAATAAATTTAAGACATTCCTGAACTTAGGAGCAAAGCATTTAATATTTTACTATTGAGTATACATTGCTAGCTATAGGTTTTTCGTCGATGCCCTTCATCAGATTGAAAATGTTTCCATGAACTCCTAGTTTGCTGGGAATTTTTTTTCTTTCAGGAACAGATGTTGATTTTGTGAAACATATTTTATGCATTTATTGAGATAATCATGTAGTTTTTCTTCTTCAGTTTGTTAACATGGTAAATTTCATTTATTGGTTTTTAAATTTGAACCAACCTTGCATTCCTCGAAGTAAATGCCATTGATAATGTTGTATATATTTACATATTATTTTCAATGTGATAAGATTTTGTTAATACTTGCATCTGTGTTTATGAGGCCCATCTATCTCATTTCTTACGTCTGGTAATAATTGTTTTATGTACTGGGAACTCCAGTGTTAAGGTGCATATGTATTTGGAATTGTGATATTTTCCTGTTGGACTGATTTTTTTTTTATCATTATATAATGTCCCTTTTTGTCTTTTTTTTTTTTTTTTTTTTTTTTAGACAGAGTCTAGCACTGTCGCCCAGGCTATGGTGCAGTGGTACAATCTCAGTTTACTGCAATCTCCACCTCCTGGGTTCAAGCAATTCTCTTGCCTCAGCCTCCTGAGTAGCTGAGACTACAGGTGGGTACCACCACACCCTGCTAATTTTTTTGTGTTTTAGGAGAGATGGGGTTTCACCATGTTGGCCAGGATGGTCTTGATCTCCTGATATGATCTGCCCGCCTCGGCCTCCCAAAGTGTTGGGATTACAGGCATGAGCTACCGTGCCCGGCCCTTTCTTTTTTAACTGTTATTGCTTTAAAGTCTGTTTGGGTGACATAAGAATAGCTACTTTTGCTCGCTTTGGTTTCCATTTGCATGGAATATCTTTTTCTACCCCTTTACCTTAAGTTTATATGAGTCATTATGCATTTGGCGAGTCTCCTGAAGACAGCAGATACTTGGTTGGTGAATTTTGTCTACTCTGCCATTCTGTATCTTTTAAGTGGAGCATTTAGGCCATTTACATTCAATGTTAGTATTGAGATGTGAGATATTGTTTTATTCATAGTGATAGTTGTTGCCTGAATACCTTGGGTTTTTAAAAATTGTGTTATTGTTTTATAGGCCTTGTGAGATATATACTTAAAGGAGATTCTATTTTTGTTTCAAGATTTAGAACTCTTTGGCATTTCTTGTAGCTCTGGCTTGGTAGTGGCAGATTCTCTCAGCATTTGTTTGTCTGAAAAAGACTTTCTCTCTCCTTCATTTATGAAGCTTAGTTTTGCTGGATACAAAATTCTTGGTTGGCAATCATTTTGTTTGAGGAGGCTAAAGATTGGACCCCAATCCCTTCTGGCTGATAGGGTTTCTGCTGGGAAATCTGCTGTTAATCTGATAGGTTTTCCTTTATAGTTTCCCCGATGCTTTTGCTTCATCCCTCTTAAGATCCTTCGCTTCATCTCGACTTTAGATAACCTGATGACTGTGTGCCTTTGTGTGCCTGACTTGTGATCTTTTTGCAATGAATTTTTTAGGTGTTCTTTGAGCTTCTTGTATTTGGATGTCTAAATCTCTGGCAAGGCCAAGGAACTTTCCCTTGATTATTTCCTCAAATAAGCTTTCAAAACGTTTAGGTTTGTCTTCTTCCTCAGGAACCAATTGTTTTTAGGTTTGGCTGTTTAACATAACCCCAAATTTCTTGGAGGCTTTGTTCATTTTTTTAATTTGTCTTTGTCTCGTTGAGTTACTTTAAATGCTTTGTCTTAAAGCTCTGAAGTTCTTTCTTCTTCTTCTGGTCAATTGTTGACACTTCCCAGTGCATTTTGTATTTCTCTAAGTGTGTCTTCCATTTCCAGAAATTGTGATTATTTTTTCTTTATAATATCTAATTCTCTGGAGAATTTTTCATCCATAGCCTGTATTTTTTGTTGTTTTTTGCTTTTTGTTTTTTGGTTTTTTTGAGACAGGGTCTCACTTTGTCACCCAGACTAGAGTGCAGTGGCACAATCTCAGCTCACTGCAGTTTCTGCTTCCTGGGTTCAAGCAATTCTCCTGCCTCAGCCTCCCGAGTAGCTGGGATTACAGGCGTGTACCACCATGCCTGGCTAATTTTTGTATTTTTAGTAGAGATGGGGTTTCACTTTGTTGAGGAGGCTGGTCTCAAACTCTTGACCTTAAGTGATCTGCCCACCTCAGACTTCCAAAGTGCTGGGTTTACAGGTGTGAGCCACTGCGCCTGACCAATCCAAAGCCTGTATTAATTTTTTTTTTTTTTTTTTGAGACGGAGTTTCACTCATGTTACCCGAGCTGGAGTGCAATGGCGCGATCTCGGCTCACCAGAACCTCCGCCTCCTGGGTTCAGGCAATTCTCCTGCCTCAGCCTCCTGAGTAGCTGGGATTACAGGCACGCACCACCATGCCCAGCTAATGTTTTGTATTTTTAGTAGAGACGGGGTTTCACCATGTTGACCAGGATGGTCTCGATCTCTTGACCTTGTGATCCACCCGCTTCGGCCTCCCAAAGTGCTGGGATTACAGGCTTGAGCCACTGCGCCTGGCCTTAATTTTTAAATTCTTTGTTAGTTTTCACCTTTCTCTGGTATCTCCTTGAGTAGTATAATAATCTATCTTCTGAATTCTTTATCTGGCAATTCAGAGATTTATTCTTGATTTAGATTTATTGCTGTGGAGCTAGGATGGTCTTTTGGGGGTGTTATAGAACCTTGTTTTATCATATTACAAATTACTTTTCTGATTTCTTCTCATTTGTGTAGACTATTACAGGGGAAAAATCTGGAACTCAAGGGCTGCTATTCAGATTCTTTTGTCCCACAGAGTGACTCCTTCATGTGATGGGCACCCCCTTCCCCTAGGAGTGGAACTTCCTGGGAGCCAGACTGCAGTGATTGCCATTGCTCTTCTGGGTCCAGCCTCTCAGTGGGGCTACCAGGTTCCAGGCTGGTGCTGAGGAATGTCTGCAAAGAGTCCTGTGATGTGATCCATCTTCACCTGCTCTGGCGGAGGTGGGAGGGGAGTAAAGTAGACTGTGAGTGTGAGGTCCTTGCTTGTAGTTGTGTTTAGTGTGCTGGCTTTCTCAAATGCTGGTTGTGCTAGCAGTGAAGTTGTCACATGGACAGACTCAGGACCTCTGGTTAGCCAGGGTGTTGCAGGCAGTGGAATTAGCTGTTGTATTCTTTCTTGGAGCAGGGTTATTCTATTGTGAGTTGCCAGGAGACGGTACAGTACCCTAAGAGCACTGAAGAGGGCTACCCCATGTGAACTCAGGTAGTCAGGGAAGCCTTCCTGAAAGCCATGGAGAAGCACATTCTAGGTAGAGAACAGCATGTGTAAAGGCCTAGAAGTGAGTGTCTGAGGTGAAAGTTCAGAGCCTCTGTTGTCAGCAGCAGGACATGGAGCAACCCTGACATTGAGATTTAGGCAGAGGGAGAGAGAGAATGAGAGGCGGGGAGAGAGAGAGAGAGACAGACAGACAGGGACAGGTAGGAGGAAAACCAGAGCATGAAAGAGAGGAGTGGGAGGTAGTAGGAACACCAGAGCATGAGAGGTCAAGCAGCCAGGAGGGAAGGTGAGGGTTAAAGGGTCAGCTGGGTTTGGTGACTAGGAGTGGATTGGTGACCTCAGTGAGAGGGGTTTCAGAGGCTTATGGGTCAAAAACAGGTGGAAGTGGGTTGTGGAGTGCGGGAGAGGTAGAAAGCAGTAAACACACCCCCTGCTGACGCCGCTCTCAAGGAGACTGGTGTTAAGTGTAGGGGTCAGTTAGGACAGTAACTGGAGAAAGAATACGGCTTCAAGGGAGCAAGGGTTTTTTCTTTTTTTGAGTTGAAGTTTTGCTCTTGTTGCCCTTGGAGTGCAGTGGCGCGATCTCGGCTCACTGCAAACTCCATCTCCCAGGCTCAAGCAATTCTCCTCCCTCAGCCTCCTGAGTAACTGGGATTACAGGCATGCACCACCACGCCTGGATACTTCTGTATTTTTAGTAGAGACAGGGTTTCTCCATGTTGGTCAGGCTGGTCTTGAACTCCTGACCTCAGGTGATCTGCCCACGTTGTCCTCCCAAAGTGCTGGGATTACAGGTGTGAGCCACTGTGCCCAGCTGGCTTTTTTCTTTTTAATGGAAGAGATCAGCAATGTGTTTAGATGCTGATGGAAGGAGCCAGAAGAAAAGGAGAATATTGAGGTGAGACAGGAGATCCCTAAATGTCCAGGTGAGAAGACCAGATGAAATCAGGTACAGGAGCAAGGCTAGCCTCAAAGAGGCAAGGGCAGCCTCCTCCCCTCCTCCTCCCCTCCTCCCCTCCTCCCCTCCTTCGCTGGCCAAGGCACCCCTTGGCCTGTGGCTTCCTCTCATAGGCCAAGAGGAAATGGCCTAGGAGACGCCAGTGAATGGATGGGTTTGGTGGCATAAAGTCGAAATGCCCATCTGATGGTGCCTGTGTTCTCTGCTGAAAGTGAGGAAGACAGAGGTGGAGTTAGAGGTTAAAGAGAGAATCTAAGGGCTGCGCACTGTGACCCATTCCTTTAATCCCAACACTTCAGGAAGCCAAGGCAGGAGGATTGGTGGAGTCCAGGAGTTCAAGACCAGCCTGGGCAACATAGTGTGACCCTGTCTCTTAAAAAAAAAAAAACCTAGCTGGGCCTGGTGGTGTGTGCCTGTGGTCCCAGCTATTCAGGAAACTGAAGTGGGAAGATCACTTGAGTGTGAGATGTTGAGGCTGCAGTGAACAGTGATCACAACACTCCACTCTAGGCTGAGTGACATAGCAACACCCTATCTCAAAAAAAAAAGAGTGCTGGGCATGGTGGCTCACGCCTGTAATCCCAGCACTTTGGGAGGCCGAAGCAGGTGGATCACCTGAGGTCAGGAGTTCAAGTTCAGCCTGGCCAACATAGTGAAACCTTGTCTCTACTGAAAATACAAAAATTAGCTGGGTGTGGTGGTGTGCATGCCTGTAGTCCCAGGTACTTGGGAAGCTGAGGCACGAGAATCACTTGAATCTAGGAGGCAGAGGTTGCAGTGAGCTGAGATCAGGCCACTGCACTCCAGCCTGCATGACAGAGTGAGACCCTCTCTCAGAAAAAAAGAGAGAATTTAAAATGGTGGGAAACAGAGACTGCCAGGCTGCAAGCAGAGGCCCCTCTCACATGAGAGACCTGGGCTTTACAATGGATGTTAGTCTTGGTGGGATTCTGACACTCATGGTGGCGTTTCAGGCAGAGAAAGGTATTTTGAGGAGCCTAGAAAGTCTGCCCCAGTTCCCCAGAGTTATTTTTTAAATGCTGCCTAAACCAGAAAACACTTCAAAGTGTTGGTAGTTTTTAACCATTACTATTCACTGTAATAATTAGCCACCTACACCTGTGGACATTTTACACCAAATGATCAATAAAGTGATGCCTTTTTCCTGAATCCTGTCCCACCCCTTTTTTCATCTTGTTTCACTGGGACCTATCTCTCCAGCTCTGAGGACATTGAAACCAGCATTTGTTTGGGGGCACAATGGTCTTGGGAGAAGTTCCCGAGCATTTTCCAAGCTCCTCGTGTCGCCAAGCTCCTCCTCCTGTCACCAGCAGGCCATGCTCTGTTTGACCCTGGGGGTAGAGGTTCTTGCCATTGCCCCAACAGCCTTGGGCCCGTTGCCATCCCTGCCAGTCACAGAGCAAGGATGCATTGACTGTTGTCCATTTTTTCTTAATGCCTAGACTGAAAATGGCATTTGGTCTATGCTGCCAGAAAGAGAGGTAAAGTTTCTGTGGGGCCTGTTACCATGCCCCGAATGACAAGGAGGGGGACCTCCACTTGGGCTTAAGAGGAAGGGAGAATAGGGCTCTCTACCCCTTTCCTGACTGGCGTAGTGTCTCCCTGGCTGGGGGTCAGGGTGAAAGAGCAAGTGTTGGGGCAGCAGGAGTTCAAGGGGGAGGGCCTGTTCCTGGCAGAGGGCGTGTGTGTGTGTGTGTGTGTGTGTGTGTGTGTGTGTGTGTGTATGTATATGTGTATATGTCTGCGTATTGTGTCTCTGTACATGTGTGTGTCTCTTGTGTGTACATGTGCAAGCCTGGGTGTGTGCATGTGAGTCTGCATCTCTGTGTGCTTATGCCTTCCTGTGTCTGTGTCTATGCGTGCATGTGCACGTCTGTGTGTCTGTATGTATGTGTGCGCGTGTGTGTGTACATGTGCATGTGTACAGACAGGGAGCCACCATCATGGCAGTGCCAAGATGCTCAGAAGAGGAGAAAGGGTCATGGGATATTGTCTTTTTTTTTTTTTTTGAGATAGAGTCTTGCTCTGTTAATCAGGCTGGAGTGCAGTGGCGTGATCTCAGCTCACTACAACCTGTGTCTCTTGGGTTCAAGTGATTCTCCTGCCTCAGCCTCCCAAGGACCTGAGACTGCAGGGTGCACCGCCAAGCCCAACTAATTTTTTAAGTTTTAGTAGAGATGGGGTTTTACCATGTTGGCCAGGATGGTCTGGATCCCTTGACCTCGTGACCTCGAGGTCAGCCTTGGCCTCCCAAAGTGCTGGGATTACAGGCATGTGCCACCGCACCTGGCCAGAATATTATCTTTAATCTGGGTTGTGGGACCTGTCACTACATAGTAAGAAGGGCTTTGGAGAGGGACACAGGGAAAAGAGCTCTTCCAACTCTGAATGCCCAGCCAAGGCCAAAAGTCTGGTCCCTGACTTCTGGTTGGGCTTGCCCTCTTTGCAGGATGGATCCGTGTAAACAATTATGAATGGAAAGAAGAGGGGAGGGAGCAGGGTTTTCTGTGTGCTCCAGACTGCAGGGCTGGGTTTTGAAGAAGTAGGTAGAGGCATGGAACCATGGCTGTCAGCAGAGAGCTCAGGCCAAGGCTGAAAGATAATTCATTGACAAATGTTGACATGCTGTCGTGAGATAGGTTCTTAGGCCTGGAATGAGGAGGAAAGAAGCACCCCTAACACCCCAGGGGAGGGCCCGAGGCACCCTAGCCTCATATTCAGCAATGTTTTCTCTTCTAGACTCCACGAGTCCCTGTACGTAGTATACATCTTTATTCTTGCAGGTGAGGGACTCGGTGCCAGGGTGGGCTGGATATGATGGTATTAATAGGACCTGGGAGGCTGGCTCCCCCCTGCCAGGACCAACCTGTCTCTAGCTGCCCACTGGGGCTCCCACAGGACCCCTTACAAGGCTGCCATATACCCAGTTCCCAGGGACTGGCGACACTGCTCAGCACCAATGCTACCCTTCATCCCTTTCTTCTCTGGATTCTCACAGTGAAATTGGGATTTGAACCTATGTCTAACTCTAAAATGCAAACTTCTCCTGCCCTGGCTATTTGCCTCGCAAAAGCCTAAACCTGAGAGACGAGAGTTGGTGAGAGGAAAAGCAGGTTTATGTGGAGAGCCGGCAAACCGAGAAGATGGTGCACTAACATCCTGAAGCACCATTCTGAGTTAGTACCAATGGGCTCTTTTTATGTTAGGGTCAAGGGGAAAGGAGTTGGTTGGGATCAAGAAATAACTAAAAACTGCAGATATCTGGGTGCCAGCCAGGGTTTGAGGAGGTTGGGAACTTCTTTGCCCTTGGTCAGGTCACAAAGCTCCTATAAATCTTTCACAAACAACTATATTGTTAAAGTATAGTTCTCTTACATATTTACTTTAATCTCTTACATACTTCTTTTTAATTGCAGAGTTAGTTTTAAAAACTTAAGGCTGGGCACAGTGGCTTATGCCTGTATCCCCGACACTTTGGGAGGCCAAGGTGGAAGGGAGTTTGAGATCAGCCTGGGCAACATAGGGAGACCCTGTTGCTACCAAAAAAAAAAAAAAAAAAAATTAAAAATTAGCCAGGCTTGGTGGCACTCACCTGTGGGCTCAGCTACGTGGGAGGCTGAGGCAGGAAGATTGTTTAATCCCAGGAGGTTAAGGCTGCATTGATCTGTATTCCTGTCACTGCATTCCAACCTGGGTGACAGAGCAAAAACCCTGCCCCAAAAAACAGACATGATGGGCATGGTGGCTCACGCCTGTAATCCCAGCACTTTGGGAAGCTGAGGCAGGTGGATTACTTGAGGTCAGGAGTTCAAGACCAACCTGACCAACATGGTGAAACCCTGTCTCTACTAAAAATATAAAAGTAACTGATCATGGGGGTGCAGACCTGTAATCCCAGCTACTTGGGAGGCTGAGGCAGGAGAATCACTTGAACCCAGGAGGTGGAGGTTGTAGTGAGCTAAGATGGTGTCATTGCACTCCAGCCTGGGCAACAAGAGCAAAACTCTGTCTAAAAAAAAAAAAAAAAAGTTTTATTGCCATCAAAGATACGCATGTACAGCAGGTCCTCAAATGATGTCATTGTAATGCTGATAAGAAAACAGTTCCCAGCGGGGTTATTGTCTGTGGAGTTTGCATGTTCTCCGTGTCTGCCCGGGGTTTCCTCCGGGTTCTTGGGTTTTCTCCACATCCCAAAGGTGTGCATGTTAGATTCACTGGCATATCTACATTGTCTTAGTATGAGTGAGTGTGGGTGTGTGTGTTTACTCTGCAATGAGACGGTAACCTGGTCAGGGTCACTTTCTACCTTATGCCCTGAGCTGCCAGAGATACTCTGAACAGTAGAAACTCTGATCTGGAATAAGTGGGTTGGAAAATGAATGAGTGAATACAAATTATTATTATTTTTATTTATTTATTTACTGTAGAGATGGGATGTCACTATGTTGGCCAGGTTGGTCTTGAACTCCTGACCTCAGATGATCTTCCCACCTCGGCCTCTGAAAGTGCTGGGATTACAGGAGTGAGCCACCACACCAGGCCTTAAATTACTATTAAATAAAAATCTGTAGCCGGGCACAGTGGCTCACGCCCGTAATCCTAGCACTCTGGGAGGCCGAGGTGGGTGGATCACCTGAGGTCAGGAGTTCAAGACCAGCCTGGCCATCATGGTGAAACCCCATCTTTAAAAAAAAAAAAAATCTGTAACGCCTACAGTCACCATACAGATGCACAATAAACCACGTGGTCCCAAAGTACTTGGTGAACTGCCATATTGGTGTTTGTTTTTGAATTGTGTGATGGCAGGAGGTGCTCCTGACAGCTTTGGCTTTACAGAGATTTATTCTTTGACTTAACCCACCACCGTCACTCGCCGACTCGCCAAAATTTGGGTAAATTGTATCTTGTTTTTTTTTTTTTTTTTTTTTTGAGACAGAGTCTTGCTCCGTTGCCAGGCGCCAGGCTAGACTGCAGTGGTGTAATCTCAGCTCACTGCAGTCTCCGCCACCTGGGTTCAAGCAATTGTCCTGCCTTAGCCTTCCAAGTAGCTGGGACTACAGGTGCACACCACCATGCCCAGCTAATTTTTGTATTTATTAGTAGAGACGGGGTTTCACCATGTTGGCCAGGATGGTCTCAATCTTTTGACCTTGTGATCCACCCGCCTCGGCCTCCGAAAGTGCTGGGATTACAGGCGTGAGCCACCGCGCCTGGCCTCTTACTTGTTCTTATTAATATTTTTTATATATATGTAGCTCACTGTATTCATACTGCTATAAAGAACTATCTGAGACTAATTTTAAAAGGAAAGAGGTTTAATTGACTCACAGTTCTGCATTTCTGGGGAGGCCTCAGGAAACTTAAAATCATGGCTGAAGGCAAAGGAGAAGCAGGCACCTTCTTTACAGGGCAGCAGGACGAAAGCGAGGGCAAGTAGGGGAAATGCCAGAGGCTTATAAAACGTCAGATCTCCTGAGACTCACCACCATGAGGACAGCATGGGGAACTTGCTCCCATCATCCAATTACCTCCACCTGGGTCCGCCCTGGGTATGTGGGGATGATGAGGATCACAATTCAAGATGAGATTCTGGGTGGGGCCACAGCCAGACCATGTCACTCATGTTTACTTCTATATTTAATATTAGAAATGTTTTGGGTTTTTAGAAGTTTGATGATCATTTTTTGACCATACGTAGCTTTTGTTTATGTTAGCCTATGGTAAAATTGGTTTTGTGATAGCTTCCAAGAACCTATGGATGACATTAACTCAGGACTTTCTATGCATAGTGTGAAGTTTTATAAGACTTAAACAGCCAGCTGCCTTTTGCCCCTCCTCTCCTCATTCATGATTCCCCCAACCCAGGTGGGAATCTTTCCCGCTTCCTACCTTTCCAGTGGTAGCCTTTGATTTTGACTCTATATTTTATAAAGATAGGAGAAATTTCCTGTACTGTTTTGTCTTGATTTTTAAGACTTAAACATTATCTAATGAATTTCTACAATGGAAGATGAGAATTTAGCTCTCATAACAACTACACACTTAACTGCCACCTCCAGCACACATTTCTTTTTAGCCTTCTATTGTAATTATATAATAGTTTTTGTCATCTGTAAATTTTAAAATCTGAGTAATCACGCCTTCAATTGTTATAAATTTTTGCATTTTTGTTGATTTTTACATCATTGGGCTCTTTTTTCTTTTGAGATGGAGTCTCGCTTGGTTGCAGGGGCTGGAGTGCAGTGGCATGATCTCAGCTTACTGCAACCTCCACCTCCCAGGTTCAAGCAATTCTCCTGCCTCAGCCTCCCGAGTAGCTGGGATTACAGGTGCCTGCCACTACACTCAGCTAATTTTTTATATTTTTAGTAGAGATGAGGTTTCACCATGTTGACCAGGCTGGAGTTGAACTCCCAACCTCGTGATTCACCCACCGCGGCCTCCCAAAGTGCTGGGATTACAGGTATGAATCACTGTGCTCAGCCCCTCACTGGGCTTTTTATTTCCCCTCTTCACCTTCCCTATCCTTGCTGTGGGCTCTTTTTATTCATTTTTTAAAATTAGGGTGTTATTTATATAGAGTAAAATTAATACCTTTCAGTGTACAGTTTTGTGAGTTTGACAGGCTGTAGTTATGTACACCACCATGATCAACATACAGAACAGTTCCATAACTTCACAAAATTCCTGGCTGGATGAAGTGGCTCACGCCTGTAATCCCAACACTTGTGGGAGGCTGAGGTGGGCGGATCACCTGAGGTCAGGAATTTGAGAGCAGCCTGGCCAACATGGTGAAACCCCGTCTCTACTAAAAATATAAAAATTAGCTGGATGTGGTGGCATGCGCCTGTAATCTCAGCTATTCAGGAGGCTGAGGCAGGAGAATCACTTGAACCCGGAAAGTGGAGATTACAGTGAGCCGAGATCTTGGCATTGCATTTCAGCCTGGGCAATAGAGTGTGACTTCATCTCAAAAAAAAAAAAAAAGCAATCCTTCATAGTCACCTGTAGTCAACCCTTCGTCCTACTCCCAGGCCCTGGCAATCAGTGAACAGTTTTCTGTTCCTGTAGTTTTGCCTCTGTAAGATTGTCATATAAATGGCAACATACTAGCCTTTTCAGTGTGGTTTCTTTTACTTAGAACAAGGCATTTGAGATTCGTCTAGTTGTGTATATCAGTAATTTGTTCCTTTTATTGTTTTTTGTTTTGAGATAAAGTCTCACTCGGTCACCAGGCACCAGACTGGAGTGCAGTGGCACAATCTCAGTTTACTGCATCCTCTGCCTCCCGGGTTCAAGCGGTTCTCCTGCCTCAGCCTCCCAAGTAGCTGGGACTACAGGCACGTGCCACCATGCCCAGCTAACTTTTGTATTTTAGTAGAGATGGGGTTTCACTGTTTTGGCCGGGATGGTCTTGATCTCTTGACCTCATGATCCACCCACCTCGGCCTCCCAAAGTGCTGGGATTACAAGCGTGAGCCACCGCGCCTGGCCCCCTTTTAGTGTTGAGTGGTGGTTCATTGTATGGATGTACCAGAACATTTGGACAGTTTCTAGTTTGGGGCGATTATAAATAAAATCACTATTAATATTCACATACAAGTTTTGTGTGAACATAGATTTTGCCTACACATGGGTAAATAGCAGTGGAATTTGGGTCATATGGTAAGTGTAAGTTTAATTTTGTAGAAACTCAAAACTTTTTCTAAATGGCTGTCTCAGCAGCAATAACCAAGACACTCCAGTTGTTCTATATCCTCTTCAGCATTTGTTACTTTTGAAAGCCATTCTAAAAGGCAGATTTGAAATTTTAGTAGGTCAATATTGAAGGTTTATGTTATTAAAACTGTGTAAACAAACCAGGCGTAATAGTTCATGACTATAATCCCAGTACTTTGGGAGGCCAAGGCAGGAGGATCACTTGAGCTCTGGAGTTCAAGACCAGCCTGTTCAACATAGACTCTATATAAAAACAAAACAAAACAAAAACAGAAAAAAATTAGGTCAGGTACAGTGGTTTATGCTTATAATCCCAGCTTCTTGAGAGATCAACAGGGGAGGATTGTTTGAGCCCAGGAGTTCGAGACCTGTCTGGACAACATTGGGAGACCGTGTCGCTTTAAAAAAAAAAAAAAATGCTGGGTGTGGTAATTAGCTGGATGCCCTGTAATCTCAGCTACTAGAGGCTGAGGTGGAAGGGTCACTTACTTGAGCACAGGATGTGGAGGCCACAGTGAACCGTGATCATGCCACCGCACTCCAGTCTGGGCAACAGAGCAAGACCCTGTCTCAAAACAAACAAAAAATGTAAGCAGTAGTCCCATTTGAATCATGATTTTGGTTTTTCTTCTTTTTAATTTCTTTCGTTTTCACTGCATCTATTATATAATTAATTCATCCAAGTTTTCTGCCAAAAATAGAAATATCTTTGTAATACGTTTAGACAGATCAGGCCATTTATCCATATGATCATTTTCATGGAGACATATCTCAGAGAGCCCTCCATCTCATCTCCCTGATTCTAAGTAGACAGGGTGCCCTTGAGGTCTGCTGCCCAGCTGTCCTCCTGAGCTCTCCATTCACTCTTATGCTGGGGGCGCTTCCCTGCGTGTTGTGCTGGGTCCTATGTTATCTTTTATTTCCTCTTAATTTTAGTGGAGTATAGCCTCCAATTGCTTCCTGAGGGGTAGTCTTGAGACATTTTTGTATCCGAAAAGGTCTTAATTCATACCTGCATAGCATTTGGCTAGGTATAGAATTCTAGATTGGAAATACTTTCTCAGATTTTGAAGATCCTCATTATCTTATAGCTTCAAAGGTTGGTGTTGGAAAGTTCAATGAACATTGAATTCCTAAAGCTCAGACCGTGTGTGTGTGTGTGTGTGTGTGTGTGTGTGTGTGTGTGTGTGTGTGTGTGTGTGTGTGTTTGGATTTTCATTCCTATTACTTTATTTTCTTTTCTTTTCTTTTTTTTTTTTTTTTAAAGATGGGGTTTCACCATGTTGCCCAGGCTGGTCTCGAACTAGTGAGCTCAGGCAATCCACCCACCTCAGCCTCCCAAAGTGCTAGGATTACAGACGTGAGCCACCGCGCCCGACTTTTATTTTCTATTTTTAAGGCAGAGTCTCTGTTGCCCAGGCTGGAGTACAGTGGCACAATCATAGCTCACTGCAGCCTCATACCCCCAGACTCAAGTGATCCTCCCACCTCAGCCTCCCAAGCAGCTGGAACTACAGGCGTGTGCCACCACACCTGGCTAGTATTTTAATTTTTTGTAGAGACAGGGTCTTCTTTTTTTTTTGAGACGGAGTTTCACTCATGTTGTTACCCAGGCTGGAGTGCAATGGCGCAATCTCGGCTCACCGCAACCTCCGCCTCCTGGGTTCAGGCAATTCTCCTGCCTCAGCCTCCTGAGTAGCTGGGATTACAGGCATGTGCCACCATGCCCAGCTAATTTTTTGTATTTTTAGTAGAGACGGGGTTTCACCATGTTGACCAGGATGGTCTCGATCTCTTGACCTCGTGATCCACCCGCCTTGGCCTCCCAAAGTGCTGGGATTACAGGCTTGAGCCACCGCGCCCGGCCGAGACAGGGTCTTCTTATGTTGCTCAGGCTGGTCTTGAATTCCTAGACTCAAGCAACCCTCCTGCCTTAGCCTCCCAAAATGCTGGGATTACAGGTATGAGTTACTGTACCGAGACTATATTTTTATCAATAATTAGTGGTGGTGAGGGTGTGAACATTTTATTTTAGAACCTCCTGTTCCTATTTCATGAATGTAAAGTTTTATCTTTCTAAAGATACCAATTATAGATTTTTTTTTATTTTTTGAGAGTGTTTCACTCTTAATGCCCAGGCTGGAGTGCAGTGGTGCAATCTTGGCTCACTGCAACCTCCGCCTCCCAGGTTCAAGTGATTCTCCTGCCTCAGCCTCCCAAGTACCTGGGATTACAGGTGTCTGCCACCACACCCAGCTAATTTTTGTATTTTTAGTAGAGACAGGGTTTCTCCATGTTGGCCAGACTGGTCTCGAACTCTTGACCTCGGGTGATCCACCAGCCTCGGCCTCCCAAAGTGCTGGGATTATAGGAGTGAACTACCATGCTTGGCCCAATTACAGATTTTTTAAGTTTAGGTTTTGACAGTATATCTCACCTCAGCCTTTCTCTCTCTCTGTCACGCAGCCCACAGGGGAGACGGTAAGGTCAGTGTGGGGGCTAATGAATAAATGCTACATGGTGCCCACTGAGGTGGGTAAGGGCTAGGCACTTCTCTTCCCCTGGAGTGGGGTGGCTGTGCTGGGTACCCTTGGCAGACACGGTAAGGGGGACTGCACCTGGAGAGGGTGGGCCAGTTGGGGAAGGACTGCTCAGCACTCGTAACTGTGTGTCACCCCTCGCACTTCTCTCTGCAGAGACACAGGAGGGGGAAGAAGCCAGCCTCTGAGGTAAGGCTTCCCCTGGAAGGCCCTGGGCTGGGGCTCTCTCCTGTCAGAGCTCAGTTACACACAGGGCGAGGAGTCCCAGGGTAGTGGCGGGCCCCCTCCAGGAAATTCACAAGGTTACCACAGCTCAGCTGAAAAGGTAGAACTTCCCAGAATGTGGCACCCTAGTGTGAGAACATGAGGAGGATGAGATGTTCTGACGGTGTTTTTTTTGAGATGGAGTTTTGCTCTTGTTGCCCAGGCTGGAGTGCAATGGTGTGATCTCGTCAAACTGCAACCTCCACCACCTGGGTTCAAGCAGTTCTCCTGTCCAGCCCTCCCGAGCAGCTGGGATTGCAGGTACGTGCCACCACGCCTGGCTAAGTTTTTTGTATTTTTAGTAGAGGTGGGGTTTCTCCATGTTGGTCAGGGTGGTCTCAAACTCCTGACCTCAGGTGATCCACCCACCTGAGCCTCCCACAGTGCTGGGATTACAGGTGTGAACCACTGTACTTGGCTTCTGAGGCCTATCTGCCCATAGTCCACCCTCTTATTTCTCTTGCAGCTCATGACCCCCAGGGGGCCTGGAGGACTGAATGATGTTGCTCCCCAAGGAGGAGGCTGCCATCTTGTCTCAGGAGAGAGAGCAGGTGAAGTCCCCATGGGAGGAAGCATCTAGCCCCATTCCTGCTGAGCAAGAGGTGGCAGGGACCCCAGGCTGGGAGGTAAGGACAGCCTGAGGCTTCAGCTGGAACATCTCCAGCATGAGTCCAACTGAGCAGGCAGAGAGGCACTGCTGGAGGCTGGCTCAACCCCAAGATGAGCAGGCCAAGCTGCCATTTTAGGTGAGCGAGGACATCTGTGCGGAGCTGAGAGACGGCAGCCATGTGTGAACAGACTGGGTCTCATCCTGGCCTCCCCTGACTTCATGTGGACAGAGCCTGTTTCCCTGTCTGTGCAGCACAGAACCTTTCTGATCTCATTGCTGGGTCCCTCTTCTTCCTGCCAGGAAAATAAACAGGTTCCAAAGGAAGTTGCTGCGTCTCCAGCTGGTAAGACCGTGGGCCCGACGTGCTAATCTCAGTGACTGCTAGGGTCACGGAGCCCCCAGCCCTTTCCCACCTTCCTGACCTGGGGAGGGGAGGGAAGCAGCCTAGGAGTCAGGTGTCTTGACCTTCCCGGGAGCCTCCCTGGGTTGGCAGGAACTCCAGGCCACTCCCCTGAGCCAGCTGCCTGGACCTCCTGGGGCATCTCAGAGGGAGGGTTGCTCCCAGCAGGGGACTTAGAAGGCTGCCGGTTTCTACTTTGTAGAGGCCTCTGAAGAGGACAGTAATGAGTAAAGGCCCTGGGACTGGGTCCCATGCTTGTGACAGAGTTGGTTCTCGGCCTCCGACAGCCCCAAGACTCAACCGCAAAGAAAAAGTTTCCAGAAAATCCAAGAGCTGCTGCTGCTGCTGCAGGCTCGGCTGCCACCTTTCAGGGCCTCCATCTTCAGACAGACCCAGTCTGGCCTCATCCACATTCTGTGTCCCACAGCTGCAGGAACAACACCTCCTGCCACTACAGTGGACTGTCCCTGGAGTGGCCCAAGGGGGCCCTGGCCAGCCTTCTGACTCAGTGCCAGGGGACAGACCAATGTCCCTCTTGTGCTGACAGCTGGGCCGCACCCTGGCTTGAGGGCATTTACAGAAATGCTGGCAGGAACCACCGTCCATGGTCCTCTGGCAAAGGAGGCCTCGGGTGGCTTCTCAGAGTGTCTGGTTCTCTGCTCCGGGCTGTTCCCTAAAAAGGTGTGCCCAGCCCAGCCAGTTGTGCTGAGGACAGACGGGGAGAGCAGTTCCTACCTTCTGTGGGGGCTTCGGCTCCAAACCAACAAGGGCCAAAGCCCCAGAAGGCACAGCAGAAAGACAGGACTCAGGGCACCTGAAGCAGCCTTCTCACTGGCAGAAGGAAACAGAAGCCCAGGGTAGAGGGGGGCAGGCCCAGGGTCACACTGGGTAGTGGCAGAACCAGGACTAGGGTCAGAGTCTCTAACTCTCAGCCACCCATGCGACCACCTCCTCTGTTCACCCCAGTGCCTCATGGGTCCAAGGTTGCCCCCTGTTCCTAGGACAGGCCTGTTGCCCACAGGGCTCATGTATGGCCCTGCCTGACCCAGCCACCGGGAGGATGGCCCTAAGGTCGGAGCCCAGACAAGCGTCCTCCTCAAGCTCCAGCCTGGTCCCGAGTGGAAATTTTTCACTGGTCAGGCGTCTCGACAGCAGCATCCTTGAGGACCTGGAGAGGTGGCCAGTCCTGTGGTGAGGTGACAGAGGCTGAGGGTGATGGCTCAGTCTTGGGCTTCCATGGGTCCTTCCCAGGAATGTTCTGGCAGCTGCCGACTGAACCCTGGGAAGTAACCCCGGCACAGAGCTCCCTGACTCTCCATGATTCGCCTTTTATTTTGTGGTGTCGTATACGAAGGGAGGTCACTGTTGTGATGGCGCTGGTGGGACTGCTGCCCCAATGTAGGGTAGACTGAGTCGGGCCCGAACTGTGGGCCTCCAGGCTGAGTACTGCCCTCTCCACCACACCCAGGGCTGACCGACACCTCTAGTCAGCCCATTCTGGCCCCTTCCCTAGATGCTGGGACAATGTACAGTTTGTGTCACCAATCTGGGCAGTCAGAGATGGGTCAGTGGGGGACATGGGATAGGGGCAAGGCCAGCTGACACATGCTGAATCTCCACACAGCCCTGTCTCAAACACGGCCCGGCCAGGCCAGGTGCTGGGGAAAGCAGGAAGGAGGCAGGGGTGGGGCTGCTCTTGAGAGGCTGTGAGGCCCATCACACAGCCTGGCAGGGGACCCAGGTTGGAACTACCACATTGCTTTATTGCACATCAGGGCCCCTGGCTAGGGAGCAGGCTGAGGACTAGGTACCCTATTCTAGCGGGGCACAGCACAAAGCTCATAAGGGGAAGGGGTCACCAGGAAAGCAAAGACACCATGAGTGCTGGGCCGGGGCTGTCCGGCGGGCACGGAGAAGCTGAAGTGCTGCAGCAGGCAGGTGAAGAAGAGGAAGAGCTCCATGCGGGCCAGGGGCTCCCCGAGGCATGCGCGGCGGCCTATGGGTAGGGGAGGGGCCTCAGTGAGCATGGGTCCTGGGCGATACCCCTGCAAGACTCCACAGAAGGGTAGGGAGCTGGGCACCCCATAGGCACCTGCTGAGAAAGGCAGGAAGGCCTCTGGCTTCACAAAGCGGCCCTGGGCATCCAGGAAGTGTTCAGGGTGGAAGCGGAAGGGCTTCTCCCAGTGGGCCTCATCCTTCAGCAGCGATGACAGGTTGGTGAAGAGCGTTGTTCCCTGGGCAGGAGATGCAGGGTGGCAGTGGGGACTGGGCTCTAGGATGCTGGGACCCCTGCCACCAAGCATACAGCTGGACTCTGCTAGTTCTTCACCTAAGAAGCTCCTGGGCACCCACTCTGACCCCATAGCAGGTCCCAGTCACATCTGGGGGTACCCACGCTGGCCCCTCTCCCTACAGGTGTGGGGTCCTCCAACATTCTGGCAGGTCCTGGTCTGTCTGCCCCACTAGACAGGCTCTTGATGGACAGGATAGCTCTGACTCTGCTGTACACCCCACAATCAGTGTGGTGGCTTTGAGGTTTGGGTGGCCAGGGTTCCCAGACTGGGCCCACCTGGCAGTGCCCATGCTGGGGCACCCACCTGGGGCTGGTACTGAGCTGGGTGAGGAGGGCCCCAGGCCTACCTTAGGGATGAGGAAGCCCTGTACTTCAATGTCTCGGGATGTCATGTGGGTCACACCCAGGGGGACGATGTCCCCAAAGCGCTGCACCTCGTGAATCACAGCAGTGGTGTAGGGCATGCGAGCCTGGTCACCCATCTCTGGTCGCCGCACCCTCCCTATCACGTCATCGATCTCCTGTTGGACACGGTCTGGGCAGACATGCATCCCCACAATAGGTCAGCACCCACGGGACTGGCCCTGAGCGTTCCTTCTGCCTCCCGTGTTGGAGGGGGTCAGGCTTACAGGAGCCTGACCAAGCCTGTGCTTGGAGCCCCAGGTGTCCCAGCTAAGCTCAGAGTACCCCGCCTGTACCCTTCCTCCCTCGCGCACCTCCCGCCCCTGGTCCCCAGCTGGGCTCACGCTGCACATCTGGGTGAAGGATCATCAGCAGGAGGCCCCAGGCCAGCGTGATCGAGGTGGTCACCATCCCAGCAGAGAACAGATCAGCTACCACTAGGCGCAGGTTTTCATCATTGAAGCTGCTCTCGGGGTTCCCCTTGGCCTGAGCAGGGCCAAGAGGGTACTCAGGAGACAGGTCAACCCAGGTGCTGCTCACCGGGTGATGCACCAGCCCCAGCTTTTGCCTGGCCACGCCTCATTGCTCTCTGGACCCTCAACCCACCACCCCTGCTCCCCACCCTGGCAGCCGCTCCCACCTTCTCCATCTCTGCCAGGAAGGTTTCAGTCAGGTCTCGGGGTGGCTGGGCTGGGTCCCAGGTCATCCTGTGCTCGTTCAGCAGCTCATCCAGCTGGGCCAGGAAAGCCTTTTGGGAGCGTAACGCCTTGCCGGCCAGCCCGGGGATGCGCAGGAGGACAGGGATGGCATTCAGCACCTGCACCAGACACAGAACAGGGTCTGGATTCCTCCTACACTCTGCCTTCACCTGGACCAGTATCAGGCCCCAGCCCTCTCCAGGGAAGACCCAGCGCCTGCCTGTCCCCACCACTGACCTCCCAAGTGCCAGCCTCCATGCTCTCTCCTTACCTTGGGCTGGTAGAGGAGAAACCTAAAATCAAATTCTCCAATGTGGACAGGAGGCACAGGGTCCTTGGCCTCTCTCGGTGCCCCCCAATCTGGAACCCCTGACCCGCGCCCACCTCTCCCACGACCGTATCTGAGATTTCCGCCCCTCCTCCAGGCCCTTCTTCTTGCAGTGGGTTTTCTTGGATTGTCCTTTCCCAAGCCCCTCTATGCAAACCCTGCTCCTTGGAAGCCCGCTGCAGCCCGGGAATCTCTCAGGAGCTCACCCTGCAGACGCCCCCACGGTCCCTGGCTCCGCACCTCACGTAGGAAGCCGGACTCCTCCGCCAGTCCCTCCATTGTTAGGTCCAGCAGCCTGAGGAGGCGAGGGTCGTCATACTCAAAGCGGCGCCTGCAGGTGAGGGAGGCGATCACGTTGCTCACCGCTTTGTCCAGGAGGCCGCGGGGTTGAAAGGGGCGTCCTGGGGGCAGGAGATGTGGAGCAGGGCTCACTTTTCCCGTTCCCCACCTTCCCAGTTCCTGCCTTGCGTCCCTCTGCCCCTCACCCACCGGAGTGGTCTGCGAAGGCAGCACAGAGGCAGGCGGCCTCCTCGGTCACCCACTGCTCCAGAGACTTCTTGCCCAGGCCCAAGTTGCGTAAGGTGGACACGGAGAAGCGCCGCTGCTCGCGCCAGGCGGGGCCGTAGCGTGCCAGGAACACCCCTGGGGACCAGAGGGACATGTGAGCGTGGGCGTGAAGGCCTTGGCCCTGCCCTGCACCGCCTACTCCAACCTTGCACTCCGTTTAGTCTCCCGCACTGCCTTGCCTCGTCCAGCTGGGCACAGGATCTGCTCTGCTTACCCACCTTGCTCGCCTGCACTCCCCTGCATGGGGCAGGGCTTGACTCCCTACTTGGCTCTGCCTACCCTGACCGCCTTTCCACTCAGGGAAGATCCCGCCGGCCCGGCCCCACCCGCACTGAGCCCGCAGTACATCGGCCCCCCAGACACCCACTTCAGCTGGGAAAGGCGCCAGCCCCGCCCACCTGGCTCCAGGCGGTTCTGGCAGTGGCCCCGCCCACACGCTCGCACCTCCCCAGATCAGGTGGTGTCCCCGCTGTCCCCAGCCCACTCGCTGGCCTTTCTGTGTTTCACATCCACAACCCGGAGCCCTCTCGGCCCACCTGGGCCTACAGTTACCGCCCACCCAAGTCCCGTGGAAACGCAGTCTGCGTCCCCACCGCCACTTGCCTTGGGAGCGCGGCCCGTAGCCCAGGACCTGGTAGATGGGCACAGGCGGCCGATCGGCGGTGTCCTCGCCGCGGGTCACCAGCGCCTCACGCACAGCCTCCAGCCCGTTGAGTACGACCACCGGTGTCCAGGCCAGCTGCAGGCTGAACACGTCCCCAAAGCGGCGCCGCAGCTGCGAAGGGAGGGTCAGGGCCTTCGTGAAGCCAGGGTCTCCCCAGACTGCAGGTCCTAGTCCCAAGTGAAACTTGGGCCAAGCTTGGGGCTACCAGGAGTGAGCAGGTGGAAGAAGGAGACCCAGTCTCCTGATCCTAGGGCAGAGATGGGGGGTCACAACTTCTATAACAGAGGAACTCAGTTTAGATATCACCTGAGTATGACCTTGCAAGAGTCGCCGAAATTACAGACAGGCCCCAGTTAGCATCCCATTTCACAGATGATGGTCCATGCCGGTGAGCAGTGAGGCCGGGGAATGCAGAGTGCAAAACGCTTGTACCGGGTCACTGCACCCCCTTCATCCTTGAATCCTGATTTAAATGGCACTCAGGACCCTGACTCCTCTCCCACTCCCAAGGCCTTTCCTTCCAGTGTCAGCAGAGGGGACTTTGTGCTCCAGAGTCTATGCTTCTCAGCGGGCTTGTACAACCACTGCAAAGTCCAGCCCCACCTGCAGGCCCTTGCCCTGCTCTTCCTTGGCATTTGGAAAATCTAATCCTTCAGGCCGTGTACAAATACCCTCCCCCAGGAAGTCCCCCAAACCTGCTTCCCCTTCGCAGCCTGGCTTCTGGTCCAGCCTGCAGTTTGACCCACCACCCGTGTTTGCTGCTGGTGGGGGGTGCTCAGGACCTCTGCCGCCCTCCAGGACCTCCTCCCTCACCTGGTTGAAGCTGTTTGGTGTGTTCTGGAAGTCCACATGCAGCAGGTTGCCCAGCCCGGGCAGTGGCATGGGGCCAGGTGGGTAGCGTGCAGCCCAGCGTTGGCGACGGTGCATCAGGTCCACCAGGAGCAGGAAGATGGCCACTGTCACAGCCAGGGGCACCAATGCATCCAGCCCCATGGCTGCCTTGCTGCCCACTGAGCTCTCTGGACACACTTGGCACCCCCACCCCACCAGGCACAGAGGACCAGACAGGACACTCTCAGCACACTGAGTGTGTGACTGATCCCTTATAAAGGGAGCTGATGACGGCCTTTGCCCTCTGCTGTGAGCCAATCTACTGTGTTGACTGTGCTGCCAGTGGGTTCAGGGTCAGGCCAGGGCAGGTAGGGGCCGCACCAAAGGTCCTTGTCCCAGCTGTTTACCCAGGGTAGGGTGGTAGAGGAGAAGTCACTCCCTTTCCCAACTCTCCAAGCCCTCACAGGCTTCTGGGATAACCAGGGTCTCAGTGGATCCTGCCATCTGCCTCCCTGCTAGGCTCACGTGCCCTTTTGTGGTCACAACCCCTCCTCCAGAACATAATCTTGCCCTTTCCTCACCCCACCTGCCTGTTCCAGAGTGGCCTTCACCACCCTTGTCTGTCACTGGCACTCACCTGGGGCCTTGGGAGTTCATGATGATCAGAGGCGCACGGGCCTGGTCTCTTCACTTCACCCTGCACTCTTGACATGCATAGACGCTATGCACACGCCTGATGGTGCACACACCTCTTCTACACTCCCAGACTCTTGTCCCCTTGTTCACATGTGCAGGGACATATTCACATACCCACAAAACCACCCACACACAATGCTCACATGCAGACTCACACTCAGAGCACATGCATTCTCTCTCTCACACCACATACACACACACACCCCCAGCACCAAGTAGCCTGCTTCTCAGCCATGCCTGACCTCTCCTGTCCAGAGGCTGCTCCCAGTAAAGCTCAAGGCTGTCACCTGGCTCCCAGCCCAGCCCACATTCCTGGACTCCAGCCTGGCCAAGACCTCTTGCTTGCAACAGGGCTGTTCCCAGAATTCCCAGTTGGTATCCTGAAGGCCCTTGCCCCAGCCTCTGACAATATCCTCCAGTGGCTTCCTGAGGGCCGCTGTCCTGCACTGCTTTCTGGCCTCCATGTCTCTCATTAGAAATCTGGTGGTAACATATACAAAAAATTACCGGGTCGTGGTGGCACGCACCTGTAGTCCCACCTACTTGGGAGGCAGAGGCAGAAGAATCACTTGAACCCAGGAGGCAGAGGTTGCGGTGAGCCAAGATCGGGCCATTGCACTCCAGTCTGGGCAACAAGAGTAAAACTGTTTCTTTTTTTTTTTGAGACGGAGTTTCACTCTTGTTACCCAGGCTGGAGTGCAATGGCGCATCACGGCTCACGGCAACCTCCGCCTCTTGGGTTCAGGCAATTCTCCTGCCTCAACCTCCTCAGTAGCTGGGATTACAGGCACACACTACCATGCCCAGCTAATTTTTTGTATTTTTAGTAGAGACTGGGTTTCACCATGTTGACCAGGATGGTCTCGATCTCTTGACCTCGTGATCCACCC